AAGGTCTTTTGGGCACAACAGATAATTAATTAATTAAGTTGATGTCTCTCTCGTCTGTATCTCATCATACAAGTAAGTCCCGCTTTTTCCTTTTTCTATTTTCCGTGTTCTGTTTGTTTCCCGAGAAAATTCCAAGGAAAACGAAACCCTTCCTAATTTTTGGTTTGGAATTCGAATGCAATTGCATTAAATTTTGAGTCTTTGATAGGGGTATTTGCAGAATTTTGAGAATGCTCATTGGATTATACAAGTTAGAAGTAATGGAGGATGGTTCTGGGATCTGGAGCAGGCTGAGTAGTAAAGGCCACCACTCGGTTTCTGTAAAAGCAAATATATGTCAAATCTTCGACTTTTAGTAGCTTGTTAGCTTCAAATAACTCATAAGTGTGTTTTCGAGTGATCGAGTTGGACTGAATGAACACATGAAGATGTTTTCTTACCCCTATCTACTTAGTTTCTTCAAGGACAATTCATCATTAGGTCATTATCAAGCCGGAAACTTAGTGTTTTTATTTACGAATTGATAAGATTTTGGAAATAATATGTGCATCGAGAAGGAATGCAATAGTTGGATACTATGACTACTGCTTCCAGTACACCGATTCATCATTCCTCCATGCTTTTTTATGTTGAGTGACTCAGAAATCCTGAGTTCCAAAACTCATGTAGTATAAGTGGGGATGGCAGCTATGTAGTCCCTGTATAATGTGCAGGGGAAAGAAGAAGATTGTTATTCCCCTCTGTGCATGAGTGAATTATAATTCCTATAGCGTCGTTCCCATATATTATGGGGCACTATAATTCCTATAGGGTAGTACAATCCATGTGAGCCTTAGAAAGGGCCGTCGCAATATAGACTACTGCTCATCTTTTCCTCTTGTTTGTAGGTCGAGATGATGAAAATGAAACAGTAATTGAAGATGCTACCCTCGTTCATGGAGAACCTTCTTAAGATGCTAATGGCCCTCCAAAAGTTGATTCCAAGGCGGAAATCCTTCACGAGAAAGTCACAAAGCAAATCGTTAAGGAAGGTCCTGGTCAAATACCATCCAAGTATTCAAATTGATTCTGTAAGCGTCAAGTGGTTTCCTTTTTGGTAGTGCTTTGCCGTGTGCATTAGTTCAAAACCCAATAATTGTTATGTGTGCATGTATATGTTAATATAGGAGTAAGACATGAATGAGCTCGTGACTTGCAAACAGACAAACACAACATCAACGTTCAGAGTTATGGATGTACTATTCGTATAGGAGAATTAATTGTGCATGCATTAAAATTTATAAAAGGGATGCCTAAGAAGATACATGTAGAAAGGTGTTGCAGTGAATTTTTACTCTGGTTCTTTCAATCACTGAGTGGTTGGCATATGCGTGATAGTGCACTACAGGGCATCGACTGAAAGCACGGGACACAAGTTTGAAGGCACATGGGATGAACAACGACTACTTGAAATGATTTTAGGAAAAGGTATTAGCATTGCCGAGTAGTCTGTTACTTTTTATATTTATATATACAGAGTATATGCAAACCAGTTCTGGCATGTTCAGTCTGCAATTAGTTTGTGATTTCTTTATTGCTTTTATTCTCTGTAATAACTTATCATTCCAGATGATTTGGGTCCATAAGAATTTAAGCATTGTCTAGGGGTATAAATTAACAACCATTGACTCAACCAAAACTACAAACAAAAAAATATAAAAATAAAAAAGCCTAAGGTGGTAGGCCAGATGCAACTCAGAAAATGGAAGATGCTATCTGACCATCAACCCCCAGTAGCCAAGGACAAAGGAAAAGAGAAGCGGATTGAGATTGAAGAGGATACCATCGGCTTTTCGAGATGGCTCCTCTGGAAGGTCGTATCTATATGAAAGATCTTGGTAATCTTCTAACGATTACATAATTTTAGCAGTATTCAAACTTACACCAAATCAATCTTACGTCTTATGAGATGAAGATACTTGGCAACATAGTTGCATTATTATTATTTGTTTTTTTTTTTCTTTCAACCCTCATTTTTGAAACTAGAAATTGAAGGAGATCTAATTTTCTCAGATGCATAAATTTGTACTGAAGATACAAATAGAATTGGACTGGTTGCTTCTATTTGGAAGTGGTGGGTGTGGAAACGTCCAGCTGTGGGTGTACAAATGATGCGGGTTATAATAGCGCGTGGGCCCAGGGAGTGGTTGGAGAGAGAACATGCGTTGGAAATCAAATTAAAGACACAACACAAGCTTCAGTAGAGCACTAGCTAATACTTTACTAGCTATACTTTGTGAAGGACCCAGCTGGCATTAAAAATCAACTTTCAATTATTAAGGGCAGCGTAACATATTGACCATTATTAGGTCTTTGTTTTTAGTATATACATTGAATATGTGTGAGTGGCTGGATGAGTGATGGGCATATAAAGACTACAAGGAGGAGCCATTTTTCACCACGCACTTAATTACAACCTTCTATTTTAATTCACTTCACTTGGATTTTACTTGTCCTGAATACAAGACATGACAGAAGGAGTCGGAAAATTATATCCAACGCCCAATGAAATTTGGAATAGACTGATGAAAAATTATGAATTTTCTATAGAGCTATTGATATATAATATTTCATCGGTTGCTGTAACGTAGTTATAGAGGTCGGAAAATTTCTCAAAATGATAAATTTACAACCCTATTGGGGTCAAGGGATGCCAATGCCCCCACATTGGCACTGCTAGTGACTGTTAGACAAGAGTTTATCTCATTTTTACTTTGTTTACTGAGTTTTCGGTTGTGAATTTTCCGTCACTACTATAATATGTTAGATGGTGTGTAAAAAAAGTCAATTTATTTCTTTGAAGAACTTCTTGTGTTTTTGTTTATGTGGATATTTTTAAATAAACGCGTGAAACTCAAGAATCAGAATGGTTCTAGTTATTATTTATTATTCCATATAAATAAGCATGTCATATTATATGAAATCATAAAAATATTAGATTGATGAGCCATTTAGTATTACTATCTAGTGATATTCTTCTAGAATTGAAAGTGATAGTTATTAGGCTCGATTCTTGGTAAAGACAAATTTGAACGATATTATTAATAGTTTATTGTAAGACTTAGTTTACTCTCTCACTTTCTTAGTGTAAATAATATCAATTATTCAAATAATAATAATAATAACAATAATAATAATAATAATAATGGATTGAGGTTTGAAATTTCCTCATTCTAAATAGACCCCTATTTATGACTTTGTTTAGTCTATTAGCATTATATCATCAACATAAATTGACATTATGATATCTTATCATCCCTTTTACTTTTAGATCTCATTTGACAGCTCGGACTGTATTAACTATTTCAATCGGATATGATAATTTGTATATCAAATAATACTGATTAAATTAGTCGAACGTTTGGTGTAGAATCGAACTAAAAACCGATTATACAGTAATGCATTTTATTTTATGAAAGACAATGTCAAAAATTGTAAATAAAATGAAAAAAAGAAAGGAAAAAAATCGATAGAATAATTAATCTTCTACAAACAAATCGTCGTCATTGATATTCTGCACACAACCCAAAAAAGTTATGGGTGTGGATTCATGGCAAATCGAAGCACCATGAAGGTGCAGAATCACGCGCAGACGGTGAGATCCACTCCAGATTCCGACGAGAGGACGACTTGTAGGTTGTCGGGTTTCAGATCCTCTCAAGGAAATCGATTAATTGAATTTACATCGTGGTAGGTTGTCGCAACCGCAAAAATGAGCCAAGAAACTTGATCTTCCAACCCAAATTAATTTCACATAATTTAAATTTTGTCCAACCCTAATTAATTTCACACAATTTTAATTTTGCGGTTCAAAACCTTAATTTTGAAAGGAACTGTAACTTCATCAAATTTTTTGAGCGGAACAGAAAGAAGAAGAAGAAGAAGAAATCTTTATGAAGACGATAGTTGAATGACCGCAACGAGATTGACTCTTGTGCACGATGCGAGAGAGTGGGACGCTACAGGAGAGAGCGGGAGAACACATCATGGTTTTCCTACCAACTAATAATACAGAGGTTTTGAGTTGGATAATTTAGTAGGTGTATACCGTATAAAGATGTGAACCCAGTTTAATTAATTCGGGTACTATTTAGTGTAAAATTAAACTAAACACTTGGGGTCCGAACTATTTATCTTGTCCGGTTCGCTATACGACTTGTCAAATGAAGCCTTAACGTATAATGTTGCTTCACTGGTAATCTTCTAACAATTGCATAGTTTTAGCATTATTCAAACTTACATCAAAACAATAGCAGTATTCAAACTTACATCAAAATAATCTTCATCTTTCATCTCATATACCTTATGAGATGAAGACACTTGATAAAACAGTTGCATTATTATTATTATTATTATTATTATTATTATTTCTTTTCTCAACCCTCATTTTTTGAAACTAAAAATTGAAGAAGATCTAATTTTCTCAGCTGAAAGAAGGCTTCAGAAAAGTGCAACGTTAGGTGTATAAATTCGTACTGAAGATACAAATAAAATTGGACTGGTTACTTCTATTTGGAAGTGCTGTGTGTAGACACGTCTAGCTGTGGGTTTACAAATGATGGTGGGTGAGGGAACATGTGTTGGAAATCAAATTAAAAACACAACACAAAGCTTTAGTATGGCACTGGCTAATGCTTTAATAGCCACTAGGGAAAACGTAAGGAAAGCAACAAACGGCTATAATTTGTGAAGGACCCAGCTGGCATTAAAAATCAACTTTCAATTATTAAGGCCAGCTGTAACATATTGACCATGTTCTCACTACGCATAACCGTATTGACCATTATTAGGTCTTTGTTTTTATTTTATCCATTGAATGATGTGTGAGTGGCTGGATGAGAGATGGGCATATCAAGACTAGCGGGAGGAGCCATCTTTCACCGTGCAAAACTATATTCTTAGTTACAATCTTCTACTTTAATTCACTTCACCTGGGTTTTTGCTTGTCCTGAATACAAGAAATGGCAGAAGGAGTTCTCTTCGATATTGCAGAACGGATCATTGTAAGGCTTGGCAACCATGCTTTCCAACAGATTGGATCGATTTGGGGTGTCCAAGATGAGCTCAACAAGCTCAAGGAGACAGTTGCCGGATTCCAAGCTGTTCTTGACGCTGAGCAAAAGCAAGCCAACAACAATGAAGTCAAACTGTGGCTCCAAAGCGTAGAAGATGCAGTTTACGAAGCCGATGACGTGCTGGATGAGTTTAATACTCAAGTTCAGCGGAGACAAGTGATGCGTGGCAATACTAAGCTGTCAAATAAGGTATTGCCTCTTTTTCTTTAGATCAAATCAACTTGCTTTCTGGCAAAAGATGAGTCATTAGATCAAAGATATTGACGAGAGGATTCGAGAGGTTCCATCTCGGAGAACATTTTTATAGTCAAGTAAGCCCATTGATATTCACCTATTAGGAGTACAATAGGTCTCTCAATAACTCATAATTAGTTGCAATAAGTCTTTTCCATTATTGTTTTGAATGTTTCATATAACTTACCGTTACAAAACTCTATAACTTATTAATACAATTCTATTGAAATAATGATTGTGTCTACTCAAACTCTTACAGGTGCGTCTTTTCTTTTCTAGCTCAAATCAACTTGTTTTTGGGTTAGAGATGAGTCATAAGATAAAAGATATTAACAAGAGCTTAGTGAGGGTTGCGTCTCGTAGACCCAGTGCCTTAAACAATAATCGTGAAGATACAAGATTTATATTGAGAGAGAGGATCACTCACTCATTTGTCCCTAAGGATAATATTATAGGGAGAGATGAAGATAAAATGGCAATTATCCAACTTTTGTTGGATCCCATCTCAACTGAGAATGTGTCAAACCATTTCCATAGTTGGAATTGGAGGATTGGGGA